ATTGAACCAAACTGCAATTTCGCAATTACAATATTTTTCAAAAAGTCTGAATGTGTTATCTTTAACTAATGGTTTAGAAGCTTTTTAATATAAGAGGAAAACACAGTAGTTACTGGAATAGTAAACAACAACATATCAAGTAATAGTTAAAATTGCGGACTACTAAAAAGTGATTTAAATATAATGACAAATATATCAGAAATTTACTGCCTTCTATCAGTAGATTAATAGTATCGAGAATACCAAACAAATTTATTGAAACTGGGAGCTTAAAAGATTGTTTAAGATATGTTAGACCGAAAACTGCAACTACTGATATTAATACATTAAATATCCTATTAAACGCTTAGGAAAATACCAAAATATCTATAAGTGAACACACAAGAAATCATGACATTGATCATTGATAGAAGACGAGCTGATGCAAGAAATCTATTAGACGTTGTTATGACAGTTGAAGATAATATGTATTACAAAATCGGGACAGAAAAGGGCACATTACCACAGTTATTTACAATAAATCAGTTTAGTGTGTGTCCGTCTCCCCTTATTGCTACTGGAAAAGTTTCAGTTGTTAAAAAATCTCTTTGTGGGAATGCATCGACTTCATCTCTATATGGTGGTCAAGGATACAAAAGATGCTCGTGCAACACCAAATGTGATTCAAAAAAGTGCTACTACAAGGCAGCTAATATTTTATGCAACTCTAAGTATCACCACAGAATAATATACAATCAGAATGCCCACTCTCAGATGCCGCCTTTGAAGTTTTTCACTGATTTGGTACTCCTAGTTCTATCATTGCTCGAAACAATTTTCTTCTATTTACAGAGTCGTAGGCTGCCTTGTAATCTGTAAATATATGGTGCGTGTCTACACCGTATTCCAGTGTTTTCTCTAGAATTTGTCTCAGGGTTGAAATCTGATAATTTGTTGATTTACCACCTCTGAAACCAGCCTGGTATTGTCCTATTATTCGCTCTGCATATGGTGCCCTACGATGGCATAGTATATTGGAGAATATTTTATACGCTGCATTTAGGAACGTAATTCCTCGATAGTTAGAGCAATCAAAGATATCTCCCTTTTTGTGTATGGTGCAAAGTATTCCAATATTCCAATCACTGGGAAGGGACTTCTGTATCCATATTCCTTTTATAAGCTGCTGCAGCGCTACTATGATATCGTGGCCACCTTCTTTATATAATTCCGCTGGGAGATTATCTATTCCGGGTGATTTGTTTCTGGCTAGTTTGTTTACAGCGTCTTTAACTTACAGGATAATTGGTGGATCCTCATCCCTCTTGTCTGCTCCGCTAACGTTACAGCTTTCCTCTTTCGGGTTTTCTTCTTCTTCCTCTATATTAAGTATCTGGTTAAAATATTCCGTCCATTGATTTAGTACGTCTGTTCTTGTTGTTAACAGATCGCCATTCAAACTTCTGCATTGTTTTGTGTTTGCCTTAAATTATTTTCTGTTGATGTTAACTTTATTATAGAATATTCTCAATTCTTTCCCTCTGTTGACGTTTTCTCTTTTTATTCAAATGTACATTTTATTATTTTGTAGGTACTTAAAGAGAAGTCGAAAAAATATTCTCATTGAACGTGATGATATTATACCTATGATGGAGACGTAATTATCTAACTTCTATAAAACAGTACAGAAGTTTAGTAACAATTTATTAAATTATATTTAATTTTTATTGTAATTTGAAAAATAATAAAATATATATTGGAAGTGAAATGAAAAAAATTATTATTCGCACATAAACAAATACAGTTGTGTTAAAATCAACGTATGAGGTTTTTCAATGCTGATTACTGGATTACCGCAAGGCCGAGGTAATCAACCAAAAAAGAAGATGTATTTAGTGACCTTTCTAGTAACTTTCTTGGGCGTGAATCTGTCTTTTTAGTTTACTCCTCCTGGTTAAAAAACAAACCACAAATCAATCAAAATTACCAAAACAGCATTAAACAAAATTTTGCTGGCCTTTCTTATTACTTAAAATCATGCAAATGAGAAAAATAGGAATTAAATTTTTGACATGAAATAAAAGTCCAATTATTATTTAACCCCTTTTTAGGAGATCAATATTATTAATAATTAAAATAACAAATAATTGTAATTATGTTCTTATTAATCATAATATGATATTATCTGAGATTACAAACTGCTCAGATAATACATATCACGAAAAAAAGTATGTAATAATTATAAGTAAAAGTAAATTGTTATGCAGCAATGTCTCTTTAGCGAGGCACAAAGATACTGTAAATGACTCATTGAATCGAAATCAATTAACATGACGTAGTAATTCACGACTAAAAATAAATGTGTAAACGATCTTGTAGTCTGCATTGGATGGTTAAGTCACAGTAAAGAGGGCCTGTCAATCACACCGCGCGAAGGGCCCAAGTCTTTGATGCCCTACAGGGTTCCAACTTTCCAGGATTGATCCCTGCAGATTACAAGATATTTGCCTTGTCTACCCATTAAGAACATTCGACTGTTCCCTTCGAATGTTATATTTAGCAAATAACAACTTTGAAACAATAATATAAGGTATATGGTATGTGGGCTAATTTCACCCTCAGGGCTGCATCCGATATGCCATGCCGAACTTAAGTTTTCAAAGGCCGATAAGGTACCGCCGCCACTCCGTTGCCGATAAAAAATTATATACCAACACCATTTTCGAATGGAATACGCCGGTTGGTCCATAATAGTAAAAATAATAATTTTATGCTTAAACCTCTCAGAATGACTGCTACAATTTTACAAAATGTTTTAATTAATTCACAATTTTCGGTTAACTAAATTTATTTCATATAACACTGTTACAGATAGATGAAACTCAGTTTGGCTTCAGAGGAGGCATGGGAACAAGAGAGGCATTATTTGCGTTGACGGTACTCTTGCAGAAATGTCGGGAATATAACAAGAGTGCATATGTATGCTTCATAGACTTTAGGAAGGCCTTTGACCGAGTGCAGCATATGAAGTTAATAGATGAATTAAAAAACATCAATTTAGACAAAAAAGACATTGAGTTTATTAAGGCTATATACTGCAACCAGAAAGCAGTAGTAAAGGTGAACGATATAGAAACAAATAATATACCGATTGCGAGAGGGGTTAGGCAAGGATGCGTCTTGTCTCCGACGCTTTTCAACGTGTACTCACAGGTCATATTCAGAAAAGCCTTATGGGAAAGAAAAGAGGGAATAAGAATTGGTGGAGAAATCATAAACACCATGAGATTTGCAGATGACACGGTAATTATGGCTGAGAGTATAGAAGATCTACAAACTTTACTAGATGCAATAAATAGTGAATGCATTCAAATGGGACTTGACATCAACACAGATAAGACCAAATTTATGATAGTATCAAGGAGTCCAATAAATAATGAACAACTAACTCTTGGTGGACAGCAAATAGAGAGAGTGACAAAATATAAATATCTGGGAGCTTACATCAACACAGAATTAGATCCAGACCAAGAGATCCAGATACGAATAGAAATGGCAAGGGCAGCATTCTTAAAATTCAAACAATTGTTCTGTGACAAAAATCTGAATATTGCGCTGAGACTGAGGTTTGTTGAATGTTACGTCTGGTCGCAATTATTGTACGGGGTAGAAACATGGACACTAAAAGCGCAAATAGTTAAAAAGATTGAAGCCTTTGAACTTTGGATATACCGGAGAATGTTGAGAATCCCATGGACTGCCAGGGTCACCAATGAGGAAGTGCTGAGAAGAATGGGTCGAGTCAAAAAATTGTTGAGAACGATAAAAGTACGCAAGACTGCATACCTTGGACACATACTAAGAAATAATAAATATAGTCTTCTGCAGGTCATCATGCAGGGTAGAGTCGATGGCAAAAAGGGAATAGGTAGAAAAAGGAAGTCATGGCTGCGAAATATTCGAGACTGGACAAACATGACTGTAGACGAATTATTCCACGTTGCAAAAGACAGAGAAGCTTTTAAAAATGTGGTCGCCAACCTCCGTTAATGGGGACGGCATAGGAAGAAGAAGAAGAACACTGTTACAGAGGGGCAGGCGTATAGTAATGGTGTATAGTGACCAAATTTTTTAAAAATGTTTTATTTTTCTTTAATTTGTCACTTAAGAACATTAGTTTAAGCCTACAAAAGTTGATGTTGTTTGCAAAATTTAAAACTATACGGTACATAAAACCTAGATTTTTAGTTCAGTTATGTTTTGTGTTGTCAAATGAGATTGTCAGCAGCTGAAGTAACACCTGATATTTTTTCAGAAGTTTTGTAATAAAAAGTTGTTTATATCAATTCAAACACGTTAATAGTTTTAAGTTTACTTAATGAAAGACATCAATATTTAATCAAGGAGAATATGATTAACAAAGTTGATTTTTGTATTTTTAAGGCTATAGTATCAACTTAACTACTACTGTTTAGGATTAAACTTAAGAGGTTGCTGGTTAAATGATAATGGATGACTATCAATTGTGAATAAATTCTTGGTTCTACTCAATATCGTTGTTTGTACAAAGAACATAGACTTACCCTTTGGTTCTATTGATGTATTCATACCAGTTTGTTTTCCTCCTTTCTAAAGTGCAGTGTGCATATCGCTCCACGAAAGTAGCTAGTTTTACTGAGTTTTCTGGTGAAAGTGATTCATACCATGATTCCGATAATAGTGATGCTGACAGAGATTATGAAGTGGAAAAAGAAAGTGGTAACAAAAGAAGCAAAAGTATGATTTAAGCAACAATAACAAAAAATGTAAGGTTTTAAAAATATAAAATAATGTTCAAATAAAAATGTAATTGCAGATCAGATGAAGAAAGCTAGTGGTTCAGGTTTAAATCAGAGATGTATTCTAAATCATGTAACTGCAAACGAATCAAATGATAACTAAAAGTAGCACAACTAATAAAGGTGACTTATTTAGTTTAGTTTTATATCTATGCATCACATTTATATAATGTTTTATTGTAGATAAAACTGCAGAAAGGCGTTTAAAAGAAAATACTAAGAAACGCAAGTGCACTCCCCAAGCTAGGAAAAGAAATATTAAACAATTTCAAAGAAATTCTGGAAAAGAATACGCAACTAGTAGTGGTAAAACTATTGTAGCAAAGAAACAAGGGTCTAGGTGTGAGTGTCGTAGCCGGTGCTTTGAAAAACTGACGAAAATGGAAAACGATGTAATATTTACAGCATTTTGTGCAACGGGGGATAAGAATATTCAAGTTAATTTAGGGTCCCTCATAAATGTAAGAAGAATATTTAAAAAGAGAAAAACCAGCGTATGTGAAACGAAAAAGTATTCTTATCGCTATAGTGTTAAAATGGGTACAAAATCTGTAAAATTGTGTCGCTCAGCATTTTGTAACTCACAGTCACTGTCGCGGTACACAAATCAGGAGTATTGAAAATTGTACAGTCAAGAGCTTCTAGTGTGGTGCTTGAAAAGGATTCCCGTGGTAAACACCATAATCTACCAAACAAAATGCAGGAAAATTATTGTAAAACAGATTAAGGAGCACATAAATAGTTTTTCAGTGCGTGAATCAGACTATTCACGAAATGAAAATAAAAAGAAATATCACGGTCACAGCTTCTTACCATGTGACCGAGATTTTGCACAAATCGAAAAAAACAAGAAGCGTAAGAAAGAGATTTTGTATGTGCCCGATCTACATCAAAAGATTTAGAGGTAAATAGTCAAATTTAACTATATTTTCAGTGTATGTACCAACCGAAGACGCATTAGAGGATAATAAAAATTAATTCTACGACTCACTAAATCAACTCTACACAGAAGCTCCTAAACACGATATTAAAATAATACTAGGTGATCTAAACGCAAAGGTAGGCACAGAAGACTACGTAATACCGGTGGCAGGAAGATATAGTCTACATGAAGTTACAAACGATAATGGATCACGTTTGGTCGATTTAGCGACAGGCTGCAACTTAGCCATCAAAAGCACGCTAGAAAAAAGATCCACAAGGCAATATGGAGATCAAACGATGGAAGAAAAAATAATCAAATAAATCACGTATTGATTGATGGGAGACATTCTAGCAGCATAATAAGTGTAAGGAATATGAGAGGGCCGGACAGCGAGACAGACCATTTTCTCGTAAAGGCCAAGCTCAGAACAAGAATTTCAACACAAACAATAGATAAACACACAAATATCGAACGATTAAATGTGGCGAAGCTGAAAGAAGAAAATAATCAAAGTACCAAGTAGAATTAAGAAATAGGTTTCAGGTTTTGGAAATAAATGAAAATGAAAGTGAAGATATAGATCAGCGATGGAACTCAATAAAAACAACTATTACAGAAGCAGCAGAGAAATCTATCGGAAGAACGAAAAAAACAAAAAAAAATAGTTCGACGACGAATGTGAAAGAACTCTAAAAGAAGCAAACAAAAGAAGAATTGATTATCTGTCGAATCCATCAGAAAAAAAACGAATACGATTCCACAGGGAAAGAGCCGCAGCTAGAAGAACACTTAGACAGAAAAAAAGACAATATCTGCAGCAACAAATCGAACAAGTAGAAAGAGAATACAGACGAAATCAAAGTAAAAATTTCTACAGAGAGGTAAGACAACATAAGAGAGGCTCGTATATAAGCACACCCAACTTCGTAATAGATAAAAATGGAGAAATGCTGGCTGCCGAAAACAAAATAATAGAAAGATGGGCTGAATATTATGAAGAGCTCCTGAATATCCAAAATTTCACTGATGAAAACAATGAAAATGGTGGAAACAACGGAGAACATGAGTATTAAACCGTCGAATTAGAGATCCCCCACCAAGCATGGAAAAAATTACGTATGCCATAAAAACGCTTAAAAACGATAAATCTTCTGATCTGGACAATATTGATGCAGAGGTAATTAAAAGAGGCGGTCATGAACTCATAAGTAAAATCCATCAATTAATAGAAATGGCCTGGCAACAAAAAATAATGCCGAAAGAATGGTGTGGTAGTATTATTGTACCAATACACAAGAAAGGAAAAAAGGAGTCATGCATGAATTATAGAGGAATCTCATTAATCAACACTACATATAAAATATTGGCTTCGATATTATTAAAAATATTAGTACCATCCGAAGAAATAGTTGATGACTACCAGTGTCATTTCAGGCCTGGCAGATCGACTATTGATCAAATATTTACAATAAGACAAATTCTTGAAACGTATTGGGAATATAATCACGACGTGCATTAGATTTTTATAGACTTCAAACAGGCTTATGATTCAATTAATCGTGCAACATTATGGAAGGCAATGATCGAGCTCGGCATACCCAAGAAACTAGCTGCGGTAAGACAAATGTGTGTAAGTAACTCTTTTGCACAAGTTAGAATAGGAGGAAAATATAAAATCCTTTCTGCGTAAATTCTGGACTGAGACAGGCAGATCCGTTGTCCCCATTGTTGTTTAACCTGGCCTTAGAATATGCCATGCGAAAAATATATCCAAAAATCAAACCAGACATAACTGCTTGGTCAGCAAAAATCATACTCGCCTTTGCCGATGACGTAGACGCAGTAGCACAATCAACATTAGAAATTAAGGATATCTTCTCGAACTTTGAAGAAGCTGCATTAAACATCGGTCTTAAAATAAATGAAGACAAAACAAAATACATGGTCATTTTAAAACAAGAACGACGGCGAATAAAGCAAAACATTAATATAAATGATCACAACTTCGAAGTTGTTAAAAAATTTATGACAACAAATGACAACAAATTAGAGCGAGAAGTTAAAAAGAGAATAATGGCAGGAAATAGATCTTTCTTTGTAATGCAACATCTGATGAAGTCGAAACTTCTTTCACGAGGTGCAAAGATCCGGATATATAAGTCCATAATACGACCAACAGTCGCGTATGGAAGCGAAACATGGATAATAACAAAAAGAGAAGTAAATAAATTGCTGGTATGGGAACATAAAATTCTTCGAATGATATATGGCCTTTGCAGAGACAGCGTGACAAACGAATGGAGGGGCCGATACAATAACGAGCTAGAGTCTCTGTTTGGAAAAGAAAATCTAGTCAGATATATAAAGGCAAATAGACTCAGATGGGCAGGACATGTGATACGCAGTAACGACAATCGCCTTATAAACAATGTGTTCTGGGAAAGGCCAGATGGAAGAAGGTCTGTAGGGCGGCCTAGAAAAAGGTGGAAAGATGCAGTCAGAGAAGATCTAGAGAAGATGGGAGTGCGACAATGGGAATTACTGGCACAGGACCGACAAACATGGAAGGCAGTAGTAAACGCGGAAAGACTCACGAAGAGTTGTAGCGCCATTGATGATGATGATGATGATGTACCCGAAGAATGATATTCAGTAGTTAAAAGCTGTGGTAAAAAGTTCGCTGTGCAACGTGTAACACAGGACATGGTGTCTGATTTTAAAACATATCTCGAGCCTTTTTTTACAAAATCCGCTGTGGTTAAAAAGCGCCCTTTTACTTTATCGAAATATAGATTATTTAATATATGATTCTGCATCTACTGAGAATACTCAATCATCTGCGTTTTGCCAACGACATAATACTTTGTTTACAACTAATTAACGAAGATCTGGGTAAAGCACAACAAATGCTACAAGAATTAGAAAACGTATCTTCAAAAATAACTCTAAAAATGAACATCAGTAAGACCAAATTTAATACAAATTTAGTTCCCAGCGTACACCTAATCATCCAAAAACTAGTGGTAGAATTGACAGAAAAGTACATGTATCTTGGTCATGAAATCAGAATAGGCAAGGATAACCAAACTTGCGAATTTCAACGACGAATAACACTTGCTTGGACGGCATATGGTTCATTACGAGACATCTTTAAGAGCACCATCCCGATAGATATGAAACGGAAGACATTTGACCAATGCGTTTTTTCTATTATGACATACGGAGCAGAAACTCTCACGCTCACAAAAACAATAGCACTAAAAATGCGAGTGGCACAAAGGCGCATGAAAAGATCAATTCTCGGCGTGACAAAAAAAGACAAAATAAGGAATCAAGACTTAAGAAAAAGAACAGGTATCAGTAATGTGGTCGAACGTATAGCCAAGCTGAAATTGAATTGGGCAGGTCACATAGCGAGACTGAAAGACACAAGATGGACCAGAAAACTAATTGACTGGCGCCCACGAGAAGACAAACGCAGCAGAGGACGACCACCAACCACCTGGATCGACGACATTAGACGAATATCCAAGAAATGGCAAAAAGAAGCACAGAACCGTAAAGAGTGGCGAAAAATGGGAGAGACCTATGTTCAGCAGTGTACAGAAGAGGTTGAAAGATGACGATGATAATCTACTAAGAATATTTCGGTAACCAAAGCACACAATCCTTTCTCTTTAACGTCATATGCTTTAAATAAAATTTCGGGAACGATTATTGGCCTAAACGGAACTCCTCAAGCTTATAGAAAAAAAGATATCACTGAAGTCAACAAAATACGATAGCATTATGCCTTTAGTGAAGAAATATGTTCTCCCCTTTTGAAAAATATTTTATGATACAATCAAACGGGCAAATTCTTCTTGAAAAAAATGACATTTGTGATTAAAGTGTTTTAGACTGTCTTCTTTTATTTTATTTTTGATTTTCTGCATTATTACAGTAATAATATAGTAGAATTTATTATTGTAGTACGTACTTAGTTCTTAGGTTTGTTCTGTTATACCCAATAAAAAAGATTTTTTGCAAAAACGCAGCAATTTTACTATTTTTTCAGACAATATTTCTTATTTTGGTAGCATAACCGCCTATGTGCAACATTTAATATCAATTTTAACAAAAAAACTAAAGTGAACATATACATATATTGTTCGAAAAGATGAGTTTTTGGTTATATTGCAAATGTCTTCTTCTTTGTCAACCATTTTCCATCCACTTCTGAATGTAGGTCTCTCCCAATTGCTTCCATCTTTCTCTATCCTGCGACAATCTAATCCGCTGTTTGCCTGCCACTACTCTTATGTCATCTACCCATCTTTTTTGAGGTCTTCCCATGCTTCTTGTTGTCGTCCTTGGTCTCCATTCTAGAATTCTCCGTGTCCACCTGTTGTCATTATATCGGGCTACGTGACCTGCCCAGCGCCATTTCATTTTTGTAGTGTCTTCCACAATATCCCTAATCTTCGTTCTACGTCTTATCTGGGTGTTTCTAATCTTGTCCATCAGTGATATTCCAAGCATGATTCGTTCCATTGCTCTTTGCGTTGTTTCTAATTTTTTAGCAGATTTTTTGGTAAGGGATACTGTCTCCAAGCCGTAGGTACAAACTGGTAGTATGCATGTATTATACAGCTTTTTCTTTAAGTTTATAGGAATGGAGGTGTTTTTCAAGATATGTACTAGTTTGCCGAAAGCGCCCTATGCCAGTTGTGTTCTTCTTTTAATTTCAGCATCTTGATTTAGTTTTCCTAGTTTGATAATATGACCTAGATATACATAATGTTCAACATTTTCTATCGTATGATTTCGTATTGTTATATTTGTCTGCTCTCGGCTCAATATTTTTGTTTTGCTGTAGTTCATTTTTAAGCCTACCGCTCCTGAAACTGCATTTAATTGTTGTAACATATCATTTAGTTCTTGGATATTATCGGCTATTAAAACTATGTCATCTGCGAATCTCAAGTGGTTTAAGTATGATCCGTCGACGTTGATACTCTTATTGATTCATTCTAGTTTCTTAAAAATATCTTCTAGAGCAAGGGTAAATAGTTTGGGAGAGATGGTGTCTCCTTGTTTTACTCCCCGTTGTAGTCTTATGGGATTAGTTTTTGTGCTTTCGTCCAGCTTTATATGCATGGTGGCATTTTCATATATGTTTTTAGTTATGGTAGTGTATCTTGAATCTATGCGTGCATTTTCTAGAGATTCAAGCAGTGCCCCTAATACGATGGAATCGAATGCTTTATGGAAATCGACGAACGCCATATGAATTGGAACATTATACTCGGTGCATTTTTTCTATCGGTGTGCAAGTGGTCTATGATATTAAATTGTTTTCTGAATCCAGCCTGCTCGATAGGTTGGTAGAAATCGAGCTTATGTGTTAGGCGGTTGGTTATGATTTTAGTAAGTAATTTATACAGATGTGATAGCAAGGACATTGGTCGGTAATTCTCGATGTTTGCTTTGTCTCCTTTCTCGAATAGTAGCAAATTTTACAAAAAAAATTTACATTGCAAATGTAAAATAAAAAAATTCACATAATTTCAACTTTGACTAAATGACACGTTTTCCCTTTTTTTTCCAAACTATGCAATGTGCACGTGGACGTGGACGGTTCATGTATCAAGTCCTTCTATTTTTAATCAAAAATACTTCTTTATTCGCATTCACATTCGTTATTATTCTGTTATATCTCATTAGTTTGTATCTCTATAATGAACACAAAAATGTATCTACTAAACTATATTTTTCATACAAAATTATCAAAATATATTTCAAAACAAAAAAATTTTTATTACAGAAAAACTTTCCCAGATGGAGCAAAAACCAACTTCAAGTAATCAATTACCTCCTACTAGCACATCTTCGAGCACCACATCCAATCATGCTCCAAACAACTCACCTCATTTACCACCTCCAGTTCCCGATCGTCCTGAACGGCTTCCGGAACAACGTCCAGTAGAGAGAATAAAACAAGAACGAGAAGATCCACCGGGGACAAATTATGGTCAACAACCACCAAGAGAAATGAGGGAACCACCTCCACAACCTCCTATACCTCAAGATAATAAACACTGGGGGTATACCGGTATTGAGCTTATGAATACCGGTGCTGCGTTTTGGCAAAATTATTCTGGTAAGTTTGAGTCATATTTTTTTTATTTAATTGGAAACTTCTTGCGTTTTCATTATAATAAATATTGCTCAATCATGATGTTTATCATCTTTCAACTACTTAGGTATTTTCTTAATATTTTTATTTTATCATAATTAGTGGAAGTCGTGGTTGCTGTACAATTCAGTTCTATAATTATTTTGTGTATGTTGGTTAACATACACAAAACATATTGTTGGGTAACATATTGTTATCTTTTTGTTGATGACTGATAACTTACTTGTCACTTGGCACCAGTCTCTGTTCACTTGCACTTGTAAAAGAATATAATTTACTTATTTAAATAATTGATGGATTCGACCTTTACTTGATAGAAATTCATTTGATGTAAAAATAAAACACTGAAAACTTTGTTTTCAAACTTCCACAAAATTTCTCACTTGAGAAAGGCAATCAGCCGAAACAGCTGTAGTGATAAGATTTAAAATAAATTTTGTGGAAGTTTGAAAACAAAGTTTTCAGTGTTTTATTTTTACATTTACTTATTTTCTTACTAAATATAATAATAGTATTATATCCAGATTTAGCCATACAACTTACACTCCCTCTAAAGGAAAAATTCACTCATCCCAGATACCTACGGTATAAAGGTTATTCCACGAATATACGACTGTTTGGAATTATTGCTACAACGAATATTTTACTGTACAAGTAGAAGTATGAAAGTAAATTGGTCTAATTATTATTCCATAAAAACGGATCTTCTGTTACTATGACATATAAACTAAAATTATTTCAGTTAGTAGATGTTCAGATATGCGCAAAATTTATTGTGAAAATTAATCCGAAAATAACAAAAAAATTTACGTAGCGCTCCTACAAATAAATACAATGACCTCTATGAAGTTAAAATGTGTTCATCAGCCATTTTGGTTGAATTTCGGTGAAATGTAAACACCAAAGAGGCGCGCCGGGTATCTTTATTATTTTATTAGGTACTACAACGGTAATAAAAAGAAATATATTATTTTTATTATAAATAAAAAGAAATTGGCAGAAGGATGGTTCAGAAACCAGAAAAAGAATCTGGTATTCCACTTTGTTAGTTTTTTGTTTGCTTTGAGTGGATATACTCTTAAAAGTTCCGAAAGTAACGGGCATAACATGGCGGCTATTGATAGTTAATGTACCGAGTCATTACAGATATTAAAAAGTAACGAAAATTTACATACAGTTTCATAAATCGCCGACTGATTTTAGTTTTAAAAACCGTCTGTATAGAGGTGTCCGGTGAAGAGACGTGTCCGTTAAGAGAGAGTTTAGTGTAGTGTATTTGTTTGTAATGGTGATTAGGAGAATAAGAGTAAGAGTAAGTTTTTCTGTTTTTTTAATACTTATTGAATATTCGACTAAATAAATTAAACTATTTAGTCACTTAAGTATTGTTACACTTCGTTTAAATCACTTAATTCAAAAACCAACTTGTTTACAATACTAAAGTCAATGAGAGTAATTATACGAGTATACTTCAAAATCTGAATAACAACTATTCTATAAACTATCAATTCTATATTAAGATCACAACTTTAAATTTAAATCTAAGGTGTATATCTGTCATAACAGTATTTTAAAAATGGGGAGAATTTACCATTGTACAATTCAGCACATTGGACCATTTAAGTCGACACCTTAAAGTGACTTTAAAACAGTCGTATATTCGTGGAATGGGGTATATCAAAAGGATTGTGCTCTGGTGGGACTCTTTCCGTGTTATCGAGCCCTAGGTGACTTGATATGCTGGAGTATCTCCCAAAAAATATTATATATATATATATATATATATATATATATATATATATATATATACATATATATATATATTATTATGATATTCAAAGTCTTAGTGCGCCAAGCAATTAATTAGCTAATTAATTAATTAATTAATCAAATTTATTTAATTGGTATGATTATGATTCTATCACACTTTTTAATTCTCTTATCTCAGGGTTATATTCGTGCTTCAATATCTATACTTTACATGTGAAAGGTAAGGTCCAAAGAATACCGGAATAATAAAAAACATATATGATGTAACATTATATATTGAAATAAAAATAATGAAATAAAATTCACACTCAAATGTTTTCAATAAAACAATATTTCATATAATGATTCTCAAAGTTTTGTTCTACACACGTGAACCTTCAAAATTAATGGTACAAACAATATTAGTTAAAATCTCAAAATCCCAATTATTATTCTAAATCTCCTAATCAAAATATTTATATCTTTTCTAAAGTAATTGTAAAAATTGTGTTATCAATAAAAGAAAAACTGCAGAAAACAAAACTATCTCTATCTGATGATAAGTGGTCCAAATCCTTGTTCCTTGTAGCCTATACTATCTATTCTTAGCAGCTCCCTAGGTAATCAGCAATCTTACAACAAATTGTTGCAAGTTTATCGTCCTTAATGATCTCCTTCAAATGCACGAATCGTTCAAATTAAGCTAACCTCTTCTCCTCTCGATAAACTAAATCTCTCGTTGGCCTGAGTGAAAAATGACTCTTGGAATATCTTCTCTTTACGATAAACTGAATCTCTCGTTGGCCTGAACAGCGACTCTTGGAATATAAGTAGAAAAATATGACTTACAATCTTTTACTGGATCAGCTTCTGTCAGATACACTAACTACACAAAAACTCACAAACTTTCACTGCTACTTCTTTCTACCTCTGGGAAACTATTCGAGAACAACGGTCGTTCGCCTTGCACCCTTGGAAAACCAACTCACTATCTTTTTTTTCTTCAAAAATTAACTTAAGTCTCATTCTCAAACCAAACATTCCACCTTTTTCAATCTCATCCAATCAAAACGCGTCATACATCTCCCATTTCTTCATTTCGATAACACAAACAAATTTTTACCTACAATTATAAAATTTCCGAACATTATTTACAAACTAATCTTTTTCTACCAATTTTTAAGAACTAACAAAAACATATCTTTCTAAAATCTATTCTATTGTCCTAATTACTGCACAAATTTATTTGGAAAACCCGCTTCCATTGTCTAGGATTTCAGTTAAGCTTATTCACGTCACTCAAATATATTTTAACAAAGAAAATAATTTATGCATATCTTACGTTTTGTTCAATATAGGTAATCCAAAGATAAAAGGACTTTCATTCTTCGAAATGTTTGTAGTTTATTATTCGACTTATCTAAATTATTTTAATTTTTTGAACTTTGAAATATTTTAAGCAAACCAATATTTTTCTCGATTTTACATATCATAACAATATATATATATATATATATATATATATATATATATATATATATATATATATATATATATGTATAATTGTATTAGGGAATATATTTTGCTAAGAATCTTTTATTCAGCATTATTTTTAGAGTGTGGTAGCTGTAGATATTTCGTTTACTTTTTTTTTCTAGTATGTAACACAAAAGGTAATTGACGAGCTTCCGGTATTTTGGGGGAACGAACTTTTCAGTTTCAATTAAAAACAAAAACACAACACCTACAAACGAATCACTTTTTCATCGTTTCCAATGAACTGTGAAGGTGAGAAGTGGCAACATGCAACGATAATTGAATTCGACATTTGTCGGTTATGTAGCAGATGTAAAAGTAAACCTTTTAGATAAAAAATTTTCTGTTGTTTCTTTATTGTATTTCAGTCTTGTCAGTATATGGATAAAGACATAAGTAAAATACACTGTTGGAAGGACAACTTTAATAATTTAACATACATCGACTGTTTTACGATTGACTTCATAGCCCGTGACGTCACATGATACCAACACGAAATATTTAGGTGATAGCTGTGTTCTGTTTTAGAATCACTTTGCCGAGTATACTGACTTTATAGCCACTAGACATATTTTATTATATACGCGTAGAAATAATATTTAAAAAGTTCTATTAATGTTAACTTAAAGAAATACACAATAATATGTTTCATTTAATTTGTATAAATGCATTATAAAGCGTTTTTATGAAGAACATTTGTTCGAAACACACTGTAACTGTAATCGAACGAAGGTGACATTTTGGCATAAATTGGTAACACTTATTTGACAGTTGCGGTGTTGACACTTTTTGTACTTTATTATTTTAAAGTGAATACCTCTTGTTTTATATTTTTACCTATTTAATAAAATCTGTTCTTTTTAGAACAAAATTAGTGTGTTTTATTTCAAAAATGTCACGTAAAAATTTAAATAGTCGTTGAAAAGAGATGGTAATACTTTTGCAATAATTATGTGACCTATTTGATTTAAAATTGAGTCAGGATTTTTTATACTTTGGCAACTATGTCAACTTCGATCTCTGACGTAGATAATGACGTGCATCGGTATGTAAATAATAAAGATGAATTATACATGATAAAGATAAAGTATTAACTAATATACAACTAATTATTTGTAAAATGCTATACCTATGAAAATGCTAATAGAGGTCTATCTAATCAACAAGACATGAACATTTATTATTTGGTAGTGTTATTTTAACTCGAACTCTATAAAATTATGCTACAAATTGAATACCTTTGGAAATCTTAGTTATTTCATCGAGTATATTGGCCTCATCCACCAATATAGCCTGCAAGTTATTATTCTTAATAAGCGTTTAATTTCGAAATTAACTGCTGGAATGAATAGCTATTTTGATTGTTGATGTATACGAGGAGAGAAAACAGATATAGTAAAATAATAGTACTAGAGCCCAGGTATTTATTGGAAATAATAAATAATGTACCACATTAGACTGATATTTTAATCTAACTTACCACGTAATAAAACTTTGTGATATAAATCACAGTATGGGATTATTTTAATCAATCAATGTATATTGTAGAAAACTCTGTAAATAGTAGTCATCAAACATCAAATAAGAGTCATTATTTGCTTTAACTACTTGTCCATTGTTATGGCGGCACTACACTTGGCTATGTATTAATTGTTATGCGGCTTCGCTGTATTTGCCCA